AACAGTGCAAATCACGTTCTTTTGGTGTAAGGAAACGGAAGGTTAGTGAAAAAGTTTCAAAATATTCGTAAAATGATTCATATGCTTGGATGTCAGATAGCGCTTCTGAAATGATGTGGTCATGCTTTTTATCTACTATACTAAGTGTGAATAATTAAGATGTTTTAATGAAGAATTTTTCTGTTAGTTGCGGGTTAGCAAATTGATCTTCGTCAAGAAATTGATCGTGGTTAGGTCTGATTATGTTGTGATCATAATATTCAATTGAATAGTCGTTAGCTCGGGGTACAGTGAATGTTTTAAGTAATTTTTTAAACCCTATGTATGTAAATTGTCGAGGTGTTAGTGCTGTTGTTAGTCTAAATAATTCACTCTTATTTCGTTCAATATCTTGTGCGGTGTTAAGGAGAGGTAAAGCAAGGGGATTTGTATAATTATAATAGGCTGTCTAATGAAGTGTGGTTGTTAATGCATGTTCATCTACAAAATTATGTGGTTCAGGGTTAGGGTGGGATTGATTTAGTGTGTATAGGGGAAATAAAGGTAGGGTTACTTGGAGGTATTTGGCAGTATTGGTATGGTCTGGATGATTAACGTATTCTCGGGCGGTTCCGGGTTTGGATGGTAATGGGTGATTGGGGAGTTTTCGTTTAAGTTCTATAAGCACGGTTAGTACTAGTGGATGATTCTGTTGATGTGGATGATTGGGCTTGTGGTGGAGTGTAGTCCGAAGTGTGTGTAGGAGTTGGTGGATTTGATGATGTTATTGTTGATGATAATTGATGAATAGTTAGAGTGTGGGGGTATTGCAATTGTTGCTGCAGTGTTATGAGGTTGTTTAGTTTATCAGATATTTGGATGTTGTCAGGTAGTAGGTTGGAGTTACTTGGAAAAAGTGAGAATGAGTAGAGGGGGATATACAATTGGTTTGAGAGTGGATGGGTTGAAAGGAAGGTTTGGAAAAGGTAGAAGGGCTGGTTTGAGAATAAGTGGAAGGTGATGGTTCGGAGTCGGCAAGTTCATCGGGGGTTTCTAAGTCGAAATTTTCAAATTGTGAGATATTTTTAAAAACTGTGATATCTGAGCTAGTATCAGAATTCATTCCTGATGATGAGTTAATTTGAGGTGAATCAGGTGGCGGAAAAGCAAAAAGTGGGATAATAGGGATTGGGTTTTGGAGATTGGCAGGGTGGGAGTTTGAACGATGGAGTGATCCAATTTGTCTGCTCATCGTCTGCTCTGCTAGGTTTCTAAAATTTCGTGAAACTAATGAGAATGGATGGTTGTGATGTAAAATTGTGGTGCTGAAGGGAATACATTTAAATTATTTTGCGATTCGTCGTATGTGTTCGGTTTTGTTGATAGTTTTGTATTGTATTGTATTCTTTGATTTGTGCATCTAAGAGTATTTATTTATTGATGATGAAAATATTCCAAAAAATCCTGCAAATAGTATGCGTGCTACGCTTGCTTGACGGTTTACTTGCGTATCTATTGCGCATGTGTTATAGATTCCTTTTAGTAATGAGAAAAGAAATCCAATCAGGTTAAACATTGCGTATAATATAGTCATTCTTTCTTAGATGTAATATGGCCATCCTAGAAAGGCAATAATTTCGTTTTTCAAAGTTACGAAGCTAAAAAATATTTATTGGTGGGATATCTTGTGGTCTATATTTTTCGCCGTTTAAACATATGTAGTCCTTAATATCTTTAAAGTATCCGCTGTAGTCTTGTGTGTAGATATCTGAAAAGCCTCCGGTTTCTGCAAGTTTTCGTAAATTTTGATCTATCGATTGTCGTTGTATAGTGTCCATTTGTGTTAGTAGTTCTTGAAATTGTTGTGTACGAATGTGATGTTAGATATCTGATTTAGAATATATTCCTATTGATTGTAGATAGATATTGGGATTGCGAGCAATAACTCGAATACTTTCGGAACTTTTTTCGGGTTGCATTAATGTGGGGTATGGTGTAAGTAGGTATTACTTTTCTTCGTCGGGGTTTAATTGTACGACATTGTGGCTATTTTGTGATCCACATGGGACTGCGGTATCCCAAAAATATGTTCTTCTTGAAAGTGTATCAACAAAAGGTACTTTATGTTTATAGAATATCGGGATTCGTTTATAACAACGCTTATCTTCAAAAACATATAATGGTGATACTTTTTTGGTGCAAGTATAAAACCATAAGATATTTTTTTCATAATCAAGGAAATTTGATCTATTTCCAGATAATAAATATCCTGCGTAGGGTATTTTTAGAACTGCTAGTGCTAGCGATTGTAAAATCTGGGTTCTTTCTAGTTCACATAGTTGATGTAATGTTTCTAATTCTGAAAATCATATTTCTTGAAAAATTGTGCAATCTAATTTCATGTCTAAGTGGATGTCATCATGAATTGCGCCAAAATATGTGTTATTCATTAGTGATAGTTCTTGTAGTCGTGTACTTTCAGTGTCTTGTGGTTTTACTTTTCCACGAATATTTCCTGCGTTTCTAAGAAGATTTACTGGGATGTATGAGGTTCCTTCATTGATAGGATGATGTGTTGCATAGGGATCCTGATTTGTTTTTCCAGTGTTCATATCGAAACCTTGTTCGTATTCGACAAGTATTTCGGAATATTGTGTATTATAGAGTGGATTAGAGTGGAGTTATATTTACATGCAAATTCTGTTTCTTGATAGATTTGCAAACGTGTTAATTTATTTTCCAGGGGGTCAGGTGGAAGAAAAAGATCAATCATGTCCATACAAACTCATCAATACGTTCAGCCCCAATATAGACCGAGGCATCTCTTGTTTCCCTAAATCGGGTCCAGAAAAGTCGGCTTTAAATTTGTTCTGAATACTTGGAAAAGCTCTTCGCATATACAAACAAAATGCTGTGCAGAAGAGCCACAATTCTGTGCATCTGTCAAAAAACGTTGGAAGTGACTCATCAGATTTCCTTTGAGTTTTTGAGCTTTACAGACCTTTGCTTAGTTTATGTTTGCTTCGTAGTTTTTGTATGTATTTATTGTTCAGTTGAAGATAATGCTACCGTTCATAAAAATTTGCTTAATTCAATCGGGCATTCACAAGGGTACAAAATTATTTTGTTTCTTGATCTAATTTTCCATTCGTTAAGTTGAGTATTTATTTATTACTTCTTTTTCGTAACATTCCATTCATCGTTAAGACCTTCACCCTAAAAGCAATCAGACTGCCTTTTTCTTTATACGCTAAACACTGAAATTAGAAAAAGTGCGTTCATTTATTTAGACTCAGAAAAATTAGTTCTAAATGTGTCAAGTTTGTGCAGTGGTTTGAAATACCAAGAGTTTGATGAATAAATTCAAAATTTGGTAGTCGAGCTGCGTTATTTAAACAAACACTTTCTCCAAGATACTGGCAAGATTGAGGCGTATTTCACAACAGACACATCAAATACCGGGTGATCAAATGAGATAGTCCAAATACATATGAAATAGTGAAGTAGACAAGGAATACTTGATGGTAAATGCTCACTTGCAATGAACATGTTGATCTTGCAACATTGATGTAATTCAACAAGTTGTAATTCATCAATGTTGTAATTCAATTTGCAACATATTTAGCTTGAATATTATAAAAACTCCAGTATAAAAGCAACAATCCTAACTTAACATAACACATTCATAAATTGTGACATCAAGAGCTTTTGAACTTATTGCTGTTTTTGAAATGTTGTTTATCCGAAAAAAATAAAATTCATTTTGATTCGGCGGTTTGATTTTCGAAAGCTGCTGTAAATTAATCTCTCAAAATTTTCATCAGATATGTGAAATTTTAGCACAAAAACCGCCTTAAAAATCAAAATCATTCAGCGACTTTTTTCATACTTTTGAAAACTTCAAAAGTTCCCCGCAACTGTTAAAAAACTCATTAGTTAAGTGGAATTTTTGAAAAACTAATTAAATTGCCATATCTCGGAAACTTAAACTAAAGATTACAAACAAAACCAATTTCGCAACCTCTAAGACCACCCTCAGAAAACCCCCTATTCTAAGAGTTGAGAAGTTCAAGTTTTGTTAGTATTTTTTTAATCTAGACTTTTCAATCATAAAAAACGCTTTATCTAGTAACGCAAGAGGTTTTGAGTTTTTTTTCAGGTGAAATTTCTAGTCCAGATTTTAAACCCTGAGTCTACCCCGACAACACCCGAGTATAGGGTTATGAATTTCCAAGTTCTGTTAGTTTGGGTTGATCGATTTTTTTGAAAAAATTGAAGAAATTATTTAAAAAACGCCATATCTGGGAAAACAGTAGGATATGAGCAGTAAATATTTGATAAGACCATATTTGCAATCCCTGAATGTACCCCGACATCACCCGATCAAGGATTTGATAATCTCAACTTTTTAGTGTGTTTTAAAACAAAAATTGAAAAAACCAAAAAAAATTCAATACCTTGGAAACCAAAACAAAAAACGCAACAGGAAACCAAAACAATTTTTTTTTCATATCATTATTGAGACTGTACAAAAAAACTGTACAAATAAAGCATTCGTACTTCAACAGTTGAATGGTCAGAATCTTAGATGACCTCGGAAAATGAAAAGGCTGAATTCGTAGAAAAAAAACATACTAAATAAGTTGCATAATTTTGGCATTTTTTTAACATATCAACGAAGGGACTTTTTAAACATGTGCTAAGTGAAACGCAAATTAAAAAGTGTTTAGATAACGCGTATATAAACGCCAATTTCAAAAATTTCACTTATTTTAGTACAAAAACAACAACAGTACTCGTATCAGTACAACAAACTCAAAAAAGCATTTAGGTAACTCCAACTTTAGCTGGGCCCCTAAATTAGATTCAAAAACTTTGTAGTCTTTTAACGCCACGCCTCATATACAAGAAGCTTTCAAATTGAATACGAACAATAAGGGTAGCAAAAAGATGAGTTTCGAAAACTGTTTTTTTTTTAATTTAACAATTAGATTTTTCAAGATGTATCATAAGGCTCTGCATAGGATATCTGCCCGCTTGAACTCTTTTTTCTTTTGATGTGTTGCTCTATGAGACCAATAGCAAAAGCACAATTAAAAGCGCACGAGAGAATACCAATTCTACCTCTAAAAACCACGGTTTCGGAGTCTCAAAAATTCGCTCAGCTAAAACATCAGTTCCTTTTTTCCTGAACACATCCTGGTTGGATCAAAAACATCTTACAATCTTTTGATTTTACCACTACATGAAACTTTATACGGACAAGATGTAGATCCGTTGTGAATTTGCCAACGCAAAATCAAGAGCGCATTTTCACCTCATCAAAAATGCCAACAACAATAGACATAAAACCAGGATTGACGTTATCTATGGATCATACTTAATAATTCAAAATGCGGTCATATGAAGTAGAACATGTTCACTGAGAATTTTTCGATTGAAACGAGGCAGAAACTATGAATGCTATCAGGAATACAATTTGGATCCATTATTGCACATCAGTTGATACATCTGAACTATTTCGAAGTTGAAACTAAAGGAGCTTCAATGAAATATTGTTATGCGATAAAGCTTGAAGTGGTTTACCATTTGTCACAACCTGAAAAGTTCAGGTGCAGCAACTACTGATGATGCAAAGCTGCTGTTAGCTAGCAATTAAATCCCCAAAAATTATCGGAGTTTGATTATAAGTTGGATAGACCTAGATATGTGCTTTTAGAGAGGGACGCTTCTGACCGCTGTTGACGCTCTAGATGAGTTGCGATAACTAACACTATTACTACTGACACCATTACTAGACTGTTGTTTTCGTCTCAGTTCTTTTTCCTTGGCCAATTCCTCTCTTCTCTTCTTGGACTTCTCTGCATGCTCCTCAATTTCTTTTTCAACCACCGGAGTAAACTGGTTGCGAAGTCTCTCTACACTTACTCTGCTCAGACTTGAAGTCAAACCCATCATTTCTTTCACAAAATCTTGAGAGTTGTTGAACTTCGGGTTGTCCTTCAAAGAGCTAAAAAGCTCTGCTAACACCATGAAGTCATTTGTCCGTAGAATTTCAGCTTTCAACTTATGAATAATTGTGATCGCAGCTCGATGGAAAACTTTGAAGGACTCGTAAAATAACATGTCCCAAACTCGCAAAGCAAGCTCCATGGGAAGGCAGTCTATAAATAAGCAGACAAACCACTTGTCAAAGTAGAGCTCGAACCCACTGAATTCCTCAATTTTGGCGAACTGCTCTGGGCAATACTTGCGAATGAGAGACTTGAAGACAAGTCGCTCAACTCGGAGACCTTTCAGGTTCGACGAGTAATAAGAAGGAGGCACAATGTGAAATATAACTCGGTCCATTAAAGTGAAACAGTCCAACTCCGTCCCCCGCAACAGCAGAAAAGTGGCAGCTATGCTGTTCATCCCTAAACAACACATTCAAACTATTCTAGGCCAGGCAAGCTGATATTTTAACACCTTTTCACTGCTATTTTTTTTTTTCATTTTTAACAAAACTTGCACAAATGCTTTCGCTAGTCGCACTGAAATCTTTTTTTATTCCTCAGCATAATTTTTCCACACAAAGAAGAAGCGGTGCTTCGCACAACTTGCAATACAAAATAAAAATAACAACGCAAGCTAGCAGACAGAAAAAAAGCCACTAAGTCCAAACAGAAATAGAAACAAAGACACTTCAAAAACTTTGAAAATTCAAACTAGTGTCTTGATCATGTTCTATTTGCGGAAAACACGTCCAGAAGCACGATCGACGGCAATTAAAGAAAATTCAGAAAATAATTGACAAGCGGCAACTGAGCCGACGAAACTTGAATAATTTCCAGGTGGAATCGCTCATACGCGAAGGTCCGAATGCGCGAAAACAAAAATCAGCCAATCAGATTTCAGTAATCTGAAATTTGCAATGAAAGTAAACATTTCCAGGGTGAAAGTAAACATTTCCAAATATAAAAACGGCAGAATAATGCATAATTTTCAAATTGTCACTGACAGCCGCCGAATTAGAACAAATTTTATATTTCAAGGGTTTCGTTATGAAAGAAGCAAAAAATAGCTTCATTTATATCGTTTTAATTGAATGGCAATTGCTTTTTTTTTAAATTGACTTTCGGCTAATTTCGTTTTCGGTCTTTCGCTCACAAGTTTTTCGCTCACTCGGTCCTTCGCGCATAAGAAGAGCCCCCTAATTTCCATAGAGCCAAAATATAATTGTTGTCATGAAAAACTTTGAACAATAAATTCTATTCTAAGAATTTAAGCAATTGGTGCGATCTAGAATGACCCCATATGGGGCTCTACGTTAATAAAATATAAGCCGAAATAATTCAAGCCGATAAGTATTTAACCGGAAAAAAAACAGCAAAGAACAGGAAGTCAAGGCTAGTAAAAATTAAAAATTGCAGGAGTAATTCAAAACACCGAAAACTAATTTGAAAATATCGTACCATAAAATAAATTCTATAATTTGGCTACTAAGCCGACAAATTACAAGCAGGCAAACTACGGGCCGACGTTTTATTGGAAAAGAATATTTCCAGTTTGAAAAAAGTTCCTGGTCAGATTGGAACCCACGAGCTTTGCCGTCTCAGGCATATTCTTCAACACCAGGTGAAGTGCCGGACACGCGTAGAAGTTTGAACTCCTTATGAACCAAGATACAAGTGATTCTCTGAAACAAGTTGTTAACCCGAAAAAAGTCTATATGTTTACAGCAAAAAATGATTCTTAGATGGGGAAACTAGGCCGAAAAAACATTAGCAGACAAATAAAAGGCCAGAAATTTTTTGAACCGGAATATTTACCGTTTGAAAAACAACAAAAAACTGGTCTTAGTCAGATTCGAACCCAGGATTTTTGCCGTCCCAGGCGTATTCGTTACCTCCAGGCTACTAAGTGTGCAGAAGGCACTAAAAAATTTGAATTCATTATGAACAAAGGCACCACCAGGAGTCCACATGAGTTCTTTACGGGTAAAAAGTCTAGTACCCGATTGCAATACCCTTGCTTATCGCAGGGGTAAAAATCCGATATCATCAGCCATTAACTGATCAAAAATCTCCCATTCCTTCTTGATGATCCGATGAACTTTGGAATGAGAAATGCACAACGTATGTAATAGATCGCACTCAACTTACCTTGGCAATAACCGGGATCTGGTCTGAAGGAAGCAAAAGCTTCGAGCACCAATTTCAAAGAGGCCATGAGTGCTTCTGAGTTCTCTCCATGAAACTCGCTATTATCGGGAAAAGTTCTTCTCAGATCCTCGAAAATTACACTTTTGAAATCCGACTGACATGGACTCCTGCAAGCCGACTGGAAAGATTGCTCGTAGTTTACTCCCTCTGTATTAGATACAGTCAACCAAACAGCGACACGTTTGTCTCTAGGGACACCTTTTCTGCAAAACCTTTTCAACTGATTAGTTTTAGTGAAGTTTTTTTGACCGTACATCAATTCCCATCTCTGCTCGCGCCGCCTTCGATGCACTTCGTCAATGGTTTTAAAACCATCTTTGCGAACAAACCCATAATTATCTAGGGCCCGTCCTTCAAATCGATTCCTCAGACTCGTCATTCATTCATACATTATCTGCGCACGAAATTCGCAAACATTATAGTATTCTAGTCGCCAAACTACGGAACATAGGTCTAAGCATTCAAATACAAGACATAATACAAGACTATCTAACAGATAGAATGCAGTTTGTGAAAATCAATAAAAGTTCATCAACTCTGAAAGAAGTAATTAGCGGTGTACCACAGGGCTCAATTCTTGGCCCTCTACTTTTTATCATATTCATTAACGACTTTCCCAAATGCATTGAGAATTCAGATTGTTTTGGCTATTGTGACGATATGAAGATCTTGTCTACTGAAGAAATTCATCTGCAAAAAGACACGGCAAATGTTGAAAAATGGTGCAAAGAAAATAAAATGCCGCTGAATGAAGATAAATGTAATTTGTTAAACCTCAAAGGGAAAATGGAAGTTACACTATTTAATACAAATGTTGATACCGCAAAGACCCAAAAAGACTTAGGTATTTTAATGTGTGACAACCTTTCGTGGTCAGTAAATGCTGAAAATCGCATATCAAAAGCAATGGGAGCTTTTTACAAAATCAAACGAAATATCTCGAAAAAAACATCATTAAAGTCAAAATTAAACTTATACTGCGGATACATCGTACCAATCATAAGCTATGCATCGCAAACATGGTATCCGAACAAAGCAGAATTAAGACAACTAGAAAGAGTACAAAAACGAGCGACATCTTGGATTACAAATAACTTCAAAATGAGTTATACTGAAAGACTGAAATTTTTAAAGCTCCTTCACTCTCAATGTACTTTGAATTACACGACATATTGTACTTAGTTTCACTACTAAAAAATAAACATGACATTGATTTGAATACAATTATTCATAAAAACGAATCACGAACGAGACAAGCAACACGTGGTGAGATTGCTGTTCATGCAACAAGACTGAAAAAGTCAAATGAAAATTATTATATACGTTCTAATACGCTATACAACTACTTTAGCCAAATTGTGGACTTCGAAAATCAAGATTATGACAGCCTGAAAATATCTATAACAAACACGTTTTGGAAATTCTTCAACAGAAATTTTGCAGAAAACAACTTGTGTATGTGGAGAATTCTTTGCTGGTGTGGAAACTGCAACCCACCGGGAAAAATTATGAACTTATAAACGAGGGTTCAAAACCCATGGAGAAATCCTAAAGCCTACACTACTACTACTACTACTACAGCTTCACGAAAACAATTTAAAGCCACTAACTGCATGGCGAAGATATATAGTAAAAATTATATAGTTAAAATTATTTCGCACAACACATACAAGGGAAATTAAACAAAACTTCTCTATAGACCAAGCACAAATGATAAGCGCTACCCTGCATGAAATTATTGAGGCTCGGTTTCAAGGGCTTACCAGTTGTTTCCAGGTTTGAAAATGCCAGTTTTTACTATCTGCACTAAGTCTTTCATCGGCGTGGACACTTTCACGAAAAAGCGGGGGAAAACGTTTGTGCCAGTCGGTCATATTCGGAAGTTTGACCTTGAGAGAAGCAAAAAACACTTGATTTTGGAGTGAAATTTAGTTTTTCAAAATTTCGAATGGAACCTGTCATGCACGATTTTCTCGCGATAACTGAAAATCAGAAAAGAGAAGTCAGAACAATCGAGTAACAATCGCGGGAAAGTTGCTAAATAAAACGGTGGGAAATTGCTATTCGCAATTTCTGTCATAATAGAACAAGAGTAGAGCTGTCCCATCTAAAACAGAGACGAGAGCATTCCCACGAACTGGATTGTTGTGATTGGAGTACTATTATTAACTGGACCAGAGTGAACCTTCGGTGGAAAGGTGGACAGCTAGAGTGTCCCAATGGTTCACGAGAACTTACAGTCTAGAGAAAAAACTTGTTCTTATTATTAAAACTGACTAACATTAAACTCATTTTAGTTACTTTATTAATTCTTGAGTTGCTTACCGACTTTTTTACTTCCTGGTTCTTGAGCGTGCTACAATGTGAGTACTTAATTTAAATTCCTAGAGTGTGTTTTATAATTGTTATGTTGAGGTAAGGCGAGTTTTAGGTTGATCCATCTGAAATGGATCAAAGTTCCACTGTCTAATAAAAAGTAACTTAACGGATTGTTCCAACCCGGTTTTTAACGGCGTTCATGTATTTTGGGTATCTAGAGACCTAAGTATGGGGACGTTTCTAATTCTAGAGTGGGGGGATATTTTAGTAGTAGCCTTTAAGCTGTAACGGGTCGTAGTCTCATGTCACAAACGAACCGAACTGGCTCCGACCGTTCTTGAGGTAGAAAAACACAAGAGATGGTGTCCCTGACCCTTGAGCCAGTGGTTATAGGGCCTATTTTTCTTAAGCCTCATGTGTGACTGCAGTAGACGAATGTTACATAGTGTTTTTATGGCGCTCCTGGGTGTTTACGACATCAAGACTACGGAGTCGAACCCACTTGAGACAGCTTCGGGCTGAATGCCCATTCTAGAGTACCGGCGGTACGGTTCGACAGGAACGTGCAAACCTTCCGGTTGTACCGTGATAGCTTTTTAAGAAAACTCGAGAAAATTTCCTGGTACGCTCTCCGAACGAGGCTTAGCTAACCGAGTAAAGGGGGGCAACTAGGGGGACAAAAACACGAGCAAAAAGACAAAAAGCAAAACAAAAACCAAAAAAGAATAGAAAAAGGAACAAAAACCATAAAACGAAAAAAGACAGTGACTTTGACACCAGATTAGTTGGATCAAACCTTTATATTAATTAAATAGTATACCCATACTGTTTTACAAGTTCGATCGTTTCGATCAACCTAGCAATTTAAACCAGTAAACTGAATAAAGTGCCCGAAGTGGGGCGTTGTCAAGGGTTTTCAGATAGCTTGGAACTTAGCTGGACCAATAGGAGACTTGACTGGAAGAGGTGACCAGCCGAGTGGGAAAGTGGTTCAGGGACACTTGAGCTGAACCAATAGGAGACTTGACTGGAAGAGGTGACCAGCCGAGTGGGAAAGTGGTTCAGGGACACTTGAGCTGAACCAATAGGAGACTGGACTGGAACAGGTGACCAGTCGAGTGGGAAAGCAGCCAAGAAGGATTTGGCAATTCTCGAGTTCTCAAGTTGGGCAGAACGGGTATCGTTAAAATCCACATTACATTATAGGAGATAAGTGTAAAATAGGATAGGCGACATCCCCCGGTTTTGAGGAACGTTTTTACTTGAGCAGGCCTGGAGACAGGTCTACGGTTTTCTCTTGAGAGGTTTAGCACCCGGCGCTTAAGGTAATTTTAGGCTTAAGAAGGGGGGCTAAAAAGGGGGGAGGTTAGAAGGGGGGCTGGTTAAGTTAGAGGTTGGCGGTTGTAAATTGTAAAAAGGGGGAAATTAGAGTAACTAATTAGTCGACATCGTTGACTTAGTTACATTAGAAATTAACACGCGTTGGTAATATTAGGTGGATATCGAATTTTGAACTCGAGTTAAGGAAGGTACCCTGGTCGGATTGGTAGGGGGGAAGGGACATAGACAGTTTTTGTAATACCCCATAAGATCGCTAGCAGGGGGGAAGGTAACGCGTGGCAATTAGGTACAAGACATTTTTTTTCTATAGAAGGTAGACATTTGTCACCTTTGAATTTTAGGTGGGCTCATCTTTCTGTTTTTATTACTTTTTCTTGCTTAGATTTTTGTTGCATTTTGGTGAGGATTTGTGTTAAAATTTTGTACGAACAGGTGATCACAAGATACCTGCGCACAGGTTTTGGTCTCAAGTTATTTGGAACATTGAAATAGAGGTAGCCAAAAAGAGAAATAAGAAAAAGGGGGGTCAGCATTTGGTTTTTAAGAGAGGATTTTGGGAAAATTTTACTAGAGCTTGAGTGGTGGTACAAGGTACGGCGAATCAAGAAGTCCCCATAACGAAGAGGGAAGAAGTCCCACCACCCAGACACTTGTCAACAGTCTTGGGACAGTGCCGAAGAAGTCTTAGGACAGAGCAGTCTGGGGACAGTCTTGGGACAGTACAGTCTTGGGACAGTGGTCTTGGGACAGGGCCTTGGGACAGGGTCTTGGGACAAGGGTCTTGGGACAGGGTCTTGGGACAAGGTCTTGGGACAAGGTCTTGGGGCAAGGGTCTTGAGACAGGGTCTTGGGACGGGGTCTTGGGACAAGGTCTTGGGACGGGGTCTTGGGACAAGGTCTTGGGACAAGGGTCTTGGGACAGGGTCTTGGGACAAGGTCTTGGGACAGGGTCTTGGGACAAGGTCTTGGGACAAGGTCTTGGGACGGGGTCTTGGGACAAGGTCTTGGGACAAGGTCTTGGGACAAGCGTCTTGGGACAGGGTCTTGGGACAGGGTCTTGGGACACTAGTCTTGGGACAGTAGTCTTGGGACAGTAGTCTTGGGACACTAGTCTTGGGACACTAGTCTTGGGACACTAATCTTGGGACAGTAGTCTTGGGACAGTAGTCTTGGGACACTAGCCTTGGGACAGTAGTCTTGGACAAGAGTCTTGGGACACGGGCGGAAAGTACTGGGACGGTACCGAACAGTCTTGGGACAGGAGAAAGAAGCCTGGGACGGTACAAAGAAGAGTAGGGACGGCAATTGGAAGTCTTGGGACAGTGTAAAAGTTGAAGTAAAATTACAAGAAGTGTTTTAAGACAGAATTAAGATAGAACAAGACTAATTGGAACCAGGTACGGTTGAGACCACAAATAAGGAAAGTTTCTCGAAAAGTTAATAAAGAGAACTGAAACAAGGTTTTCACCACGTTGTATATATATTTTTTTCTTCCTTCCCGAAAGATTTTATTCTTAGAATAGGATTGTGTATATAGTAAAATTGTAAATAAAAGCAATTGTAAATAGAAATAATGAGGCGGAGCAGGGTACCGGTAGCTGAAAAAAGACCTACCGAAGCAAAGTATAATTCGTCGCTACGCAAAACAACATCAATGGGCCCAAAGATAACAAAGAAGAACTTTTCAGTTAACATGGTCAGCACAAGGAGTACAGCGGAGAACAGAGCAA